TCAGCAGGGTTGGGGAAGGTGCGGGGGGAGGGGGGATGCTCAAAGAATTGCTGCCGGTGGTCATCTGGGGTTCTCTTCCATGAACTTGTAAACAGTGTAATTCCTGGCTTCCTTTCCCTCCATCGCAGAAAAGATCCTGAATCAGGCAACCCCACTGGGAGGTAGGAAGGAATGGGCCAGGGTGGCCTGAAGTAACTTGCATTTTATTTTCCTTGGAAGCTCAGAGTTGCAGCAGCCACTTGAAGCAGCTGGGTCCTCTCCCTGCACCCTCTGCCAGAGGCGGGGGAGGAGTCGGGGGTGAGATGGGAGTGAGGAGAGGAGGGAGGGTGGTAGGGAGGAGGGAAGGATGGAGAGGAAGGGAAAGATAGATGGAGTAGACAAGGGAGAAAGGAGGAGGGAGGGGAAGCAGCAGAAATGAGGGGAACAAGGCAGAGGCCCAGAGAGAGTCAAAATTGGGAGGAATACCTCAGCTGTGGAGGCCCCCCTGAGGGTCCAGGGATCCCAGCTCCATACCAGGCCAACCTGCCTAGGGTTCCAGAGCCAGGAAGAGAAGTCCCCATAACTTCTGGCTGTAAAAACCAGTGGTGGCCCACAGCGCTGGCCCCCCGCTGGCGCAGTGCTGGAATGCAAGTAGCTGTGGCTTGGAGGCTGCCCCCTGGCCGGGAGCAAAGGCTGCTGACATCTGCCTGGAATCGCTGCGTTTTTCCAACACACACCCCAGCCAGCCTTATCGTCAGCCTGGCAGAGGGGCCTGGGATGGGAAAATTCCATTAACTGGGACACGGGCGGAGGAGGCGCCGCTAAACTGCTTGAAAACAAGCCCCACCCACCCCACCCCACATGGTGACACCCTTCCAGGCCTTTCTAGGAGCCTCAAATCCCTGCTCACCTTCCCACCCTGGTTTGCCCTTCCTGTCCCCAAGGACCTAGATGATCCCCGTGGGACCACTCCAGTTTGGTGACACAAAGAAGGCCCACCCCCCTGCAGTGGGGATGGTGACCCGCCAGCCCTCAGCCCTGGACAGTCACTAGCGCCTGCAGCAGGAAGTCCACCCCAGTGGGACCAGCTCCCTTGCACGTGAGTCTTCACCGGAGTTCCCAGCACCACCCCCACTTCCACGCAGGCCCAGCAGGTTGCTGACACCTCTGTTCTCCCTGGACCAGGCAATTCCCTGGTCTCCCCTCCCCGGGTGCAGGGGCCCTGGCTCGAAGGGATGTTTAGAGAGAAGTCCTGGAGTAGGTACAGGTGGGGAGCGGACAGCTGAGTTCATTTCGTTAGACATTTAATGCGCACCTCCTATTGCCCCACATGGTGTGAGCAGAAAGAGCAACAAGACCCACATGAGGCCCGGCTGGTGTGGCTCAGTGGCTGAGTGCCAATCTATGCACCAGGAGGTCAGGGTTCGATTCTGGTCAGGGCACACGCCTGGGTTGCAGGCGTGATCCCCAGTAGGGGGCGTGCAGGAGGCAGCCCCTCAAGGATTCTTATCATTGATGTTTCTCTCCCTCTCCTTTCCTCTCTGAAAAAAAAGATTTTTTTTTTGAACAACAACAAAAAAAGGCCCATGTGAGGAAGGCAAAAATGTCAAATTGGAACTGTGATTCATGTTGTGATGACAAGTGTGTTAGAGGCAGGTGAGGCGACGGGAGCCCAGAAGAAAGTGACGAGTCGGGGCTGGGTGACCCTGGGAAGGCTCTCTGGTCTGGAGACCCGGCATTTGGACTGGACCTGGGAAAGTGAACAGGATTGTGATAGGGAGAGAAAAATGGAGAAAGCTTTTGCTGGTCTTTAAGCTGCACCTACAAAGTAAGATGAGAGATTTTGAAGCATTGCTGCTGTTACCACGCCGGCTGGGCAGTGCAAAGGCAAAAGCGTGGATTTGAGTCCAGATTGGGCCATTCTGTGGGCCAGTCACATGACTTCTTTGAGCCTCAGGTGTGTCACCTGGGA